TTGGCTGGACTGCTCTTCTGGCAAACATAATGCATGAAGGGCTACAGCCCTTTCCTCATGGCAATTCTGCTCTTTCTCCCACGAGAGGAGTGTCATTGTGGCTTTAAACTCCTCCTGCCTCAGCAGCTTGCTCCCCGCTTTCCTTTAAACTCTCTGAGCTTTTATTCAGCTTCACTGAAGTATCAGCAGGGGAGCTGGGCTGCGTGTGCAGTCATGGCACACACGGATGTTGGATTCTTGTTTAAATGTCTGCAAACCTGCCCCATTTCCTGGTAAAATGCTGTCACTGACCTTTGGCCAGTTTCTAGTGCTTTTACTGCTCTTTATAGAATGGGCTGTTAATACCCAGGTCTCTCAAATATTTTGGACTATTTCCTTCATCTTTAAAGGACACATATGTTCCTTGATAAGTGTAGCTTCTGGTTGTTCAGTGTAATTGCTGTAACATCTTTGGATTGACAGCCACGTGAAACAAATCTCCTTAGGTCAGCAGTTGCTGTATTTTGGCTTTGTAAGCTCTTCCTGTGTTTCAACATCAACCTATTCCTCCTAAGGTAGAACTGAAAGTGAAATGGTTTTGCTTTGTTTCATGCACAGTCATGTGTCTTCTCCTAGAAGAACAGCTGTTTTTTCACTGTATGTGTAGACCTACAGCTGAGAGAGCCTGTAGGGGCTGAGTGGAAGAAGCAACGTGCTGAGGCATCTCCTGTTTGCCTGGCACTAGGAAATGTGTACTCCTGCAGGCACCTATTTACAATTTTCCTGTCACAGTTCCCAAATGGCTCCTGCAGCGTTTCTTTGAGAAGGATTGTTTTCTTAGCTCTGTATCACTGTGAAAGGTGTTTAAAAGAGAGGATGCTCTCTTTTATGCTGACAGTGTATGCCTGCTGCTGTCAAACAGCTTTGATCACAGTGATGAATGCTGCTTGGAGTTACTATTATTTTTGGCTGCCTGGTTTGATGCACAACTTTCTTTTTAAGGTTCTTGAGGATTTCTGGGCTCCTGTCATAAGAGATTCCTTCAAGATTGTCGTGATTACTTTTTAAAAATATTTTTCTACTGGCTTCATCAGTTTAGCTGTCATGCTGGGAGTGGAGGTTGCAGTGCAGCACAGTGGGAGAAGAGAATCAAAGGATCTGTGTCAGACTTTCCTTCTGGGGATCATCTCTGGCTGTCTGTGCTGGTGCACAGTTGTCTCATAAAACTGAGGCACGTAAGAGACATTTACATCTCTGATACACTCGATATTTAGGAGGGGAGCCTGTTGAAAATTCATTTTAATGTTCTGGGAAAGATGTCAAATATTGACACGGGATTGTGGATGCTGTGAGAGCACGTGAGTGTGCAGCTGTGGAGATTTGTCTTTGCACCACTTTCTCTAGAAATGCTTTGGATTTTTTATGATGAATGTTCAGAGCCTGAGAGGGTGAGCAGGCTCCACTGGAGTAATTCTGGGGAATGCCAGCTGTGAGAATTCCTTTGACAGTAAATTGTCCACTGCACCAAATCTTTACTTAGCAGCTCCATGAGTGCAATCCTGGCTGTTGCATCAGCACCCTTGTTTTGCCTAAGCACAGAGCTCCTGAAGTGCTGTTCTTTGGATGTGTCATTTTGTGATGGGCCACTCTGGTCCAGTATTTAAACTTCACACTGAGGCATCTTTACAGCTGCTGTTTATTCCAGAAAGCAGAGCAGATATCCCTGGTGCTTCCCAGTCTAGAAAGGCAGTTCTTGCCTACCCATATGGCCTGAAAGGCAGAGGGAATGCTGCTATTAGGGGCCACCCGTGTCCATAAAGCTGTCTTTTTGAATGGTTTTTTTAGTTACTTCTGACCAGTTTCTTGCTTTGCTTATCTAACTTGCCAGACAGGGAAAGCAAAGCAGATCCTCTTTACTGCTGGTATCGGCTGTGAAATGCATCTAAGTTCCAAAATGACGTGGCATTCCTGATTTTCTGACTGATGGCTGGTCTGTGCTCATGCTGGCACTGAGCAGTAGTACATGTATTAAAGCTAAAATCAGGAGCATTCCTTTGTCCTGTAGGTGGCATGGCAGTTCTTGTATCCTGTCCCACTTGGAGTTTTTATGGCTGGCAGAGGCTGTCCGAGGGCACCTGTGACTCTCAGAGCCCTGTTTGCCATGTGCTGGGGCTGTGTCTGCTGCAGGACCTGGGCACTTTGTCACTGCTCCAGTGTAAAAGCAGCTTTGCAAGGGTGCAGTGCCCATGGCAAGGGTGCATGCTCTAAATCCAGAAGCAAGTCTTGCATTTCTCTGGTTGGACACCATCACTTACATCACCAGTGATGGCTGGAGCTTGTCCCAGCACTGCCTGCTCCCAGTCTGTCTGTCCTTGATAACGTCTGAACACTGGAACTGTGATTCCCCAGTGCTTCCTGCTTTTCCATCATTTCCAAGAGGCAAACGTAAGAACTGCTTGCACGTGCACTGTGCCATTATAGCAGGGGTCTGTTGCAGCTCTGGGCTGCAGTAGTTAGATTTTGAACAGGAAGAGCAGCAGTCTTGTGTGATAGTGGTGATGGTGCTTTTTCATCAGGGTTTGCTCTCCTCCCTCAGCCAGGTCCTGAGGAGACACAGAATTTCCCTAACCTTACTGAGGAGGTGAAGTGCAGGAGGAGCTTACTGGGCTTGGAGTTCCTTTGCTCAACAGCAGAGGGGAAAAACAGCCCAGTGCCAGGTCCAAGAAACTGCCTGCACTCTGATAGCCAAGATCCAAGTGCTGCCCTCGCCTGTTAGGCATGGCTGTGCCCAAAACATGGAGTGTGGAAATTCTGTTTGGGTCCAGCGGTACTTAGCTGAATTTAAATTCCAGCTGCAGGCTTCCTGCTGACTCAGTTTAAGCTCAGCTGTGTCTGTAGGCTGGCTGCTGAAGAGTAAAATGTTGTCATGCTGCCTCTGTCACTGATCCAGTGCAGAAACCACACTGATGAGAAGTTCCTGCCTACCTGGTTTTTAAAGAGCATTAGTAATATGGCAGTGCTCCTTCTTACTCATTCATGTGCTGTGTGGGGGCTGCTCACCAGAGGGTTTTGAGCCAAATTAGAAGGGTGATTCATGAGGGATTGGGGTGTTTGTTTTCCTAAGAAGTCAAAGTACTGCCCTGATAACTGGAAGATTGCTGCAATTCATGTCATTGTGAAAAGACAAGAGACCTTCAGAAACTTAAATAAATAAATTTCTATCAAAAAAGCCTACTGAGAGCTTCTTTTTAGAATTGTCTCTAATAAAGTTTTTCTTCCAAAGAGGAAGATAAGCCCCCTTTAAACAAAGAGTGCAGTGTATTTCTGAGCCAAAATACACAGCTGAGAGTGCTTGGTGTCCAGGCTGAGATGATAATTCTGTACTAAAGCAACATAAAGAAGAAAATGTAAAAATGCCCCAACTAAGGCAGTTGTAAGTATTTGGCATGTTTTGCATCAAGGGTATGAGGAATAAATGGCTTTGCATTGGTGCTGGGTTTTGTTTTTCCCTTTCTGGAGAGATTGCTAGTGGCATTATTTACATCCTAAAGAAGGAGGCAATTTGAAGCTGAAAGGAAGAGAAACGAAAGCTGAAAATCTCAAGCAGTCGGCTGTCCTGCTTAGGAATATCAGGCAGAGGTTGTCCTAGTTGGATTTTAAGTCTCATGATTCCTGGCTATCAGGGCATTCCTCCCAGGAACCAAGCAAATAAACTGCAAGTGGCTGGGGAGGTGTGTCCTGCCCTGGGCCACTGAGCTGCTGGTATCTCCAAGAATGCTCCTCACAGCTTCTCAGTTTTGCCCCTGCCAAAAGGAGCTTGTGATGTTGTGTCCGAAATCAAACGGGTGGAAGATACCCTTGGTTTGGGAGCAGTGTTCCCTGTGGTGGGGAAAGCCCTGACACTCTCCAAGCCAACAGCTTTGCTGTTAACCAGATGTACCAAACCATCCTTAATTTCACAGCTCTGTGTGTGTGGCCATACATGCCCAGAGGGTCTGGTTGAGCCCATCCTTCACCTGGCTTACACATTGCAACCTCTCTGTTCTCCCACCATGCTGCTTCTCTTTCCAGAGCCTAGAAGCAAATTCTGCATTTAGGGGTGAGCCTCAACTGAAGCAAAATCTTGGGCTGTTCTAAACGCTGATACAGGCTGGCAAGTCCTTTGTAGAGTAAGGAGCAGTGGGGACAGGTTTGCTGTGGTAATGATAACATCCTATTTACTCAGCACTGTTGGTTTGGCACAGCAACAAGGTACCTTCCCTGGGCTGGTTAGTTCCTGTTGGGTTTATGGGCTGGAAGTGGAGCACTGCTTTTGGTGACTCTGGGCTCTGTGATGTGGTATTTGCTTACACTCTCCTGACCTGAAGTCCTCAAGTAAGGAACTCCCTAAGTCTGTGATGCTGCTTCTCTTTCTTTATTTTCCAGTAGTGACTGGATATGTAAAGTAGTCGTGCCTGTGGCAAGTTCTCACAAAGGCAGTAAAATTGAGTGGTTATGGTTTGATATATGGATTTAAAATGTCGGGACATACCAAATACTTGGTTTCCCTGCCTGTAAAATGATGCCCTTGCTCTGTAGCTCAGCAGTGAAATATCTGCCTACAGGACAGGAAAGTGCCACCAGGCCCCGGGAGGGAGAAACAGTCACTGTTTTACTTCTTCCAATAATGATGTCATCCTGTCTGCCACACCCAAAGCTCTTACCTTTCAGCTGCCAGAGGAAAGGAATGCTCAGATTGAAAGGTTTTGACTTTGCAGTGACTGATGTTTTATTGTGGTTTCTGCTTTGGAGATTTTAATTCTAACTCAAACGTGAGACATAAACATCTTGACAGCTCACACAATGGGTGCATTGACCCATCATCCAGACACAGTGTTACAGGAGTCAGTCTTTACAGGCCTGTGCCTCCCCTGCTGAAAGCAGTGTTTTCCTAACCAGTGTTTTCCTGAGCTGAAATAGTAACTCCAGGCTGAGCTGTGAGGAGAGGTGAAGAGTCTGAGGGGAAGTGATGGTGAGCAGAGGCACTGTTGGTGGGGTGGCTTCTTTTCTGAGCTGTCTGGAAGGTGTAGCACAAGTGTGGAGATGGAGACTGATTTGTAGGGTGATTTAGCACTGCTGCAGGGATTGTGGGACCTGCTGCTGTTGTGGCAGCCCTGAGAGCTGTGGGGAATTCCCCAGCAGGTAACCATGGTGTTACACAGTGTGTGAGGCTTTTCCTTTGGATTACCCCTCACTGCTTGATGTGGAGAGAGGCATGGAGTGCCAATTGTCTTGCAGTCCCTGCTTCTCCCTCTTTTCTACCCTGCAAACTTGCAGTGCCATCTCTGCTTAAGGCCTGGAGGGTTCTGGCCCTGCCTGCTCTTGCCTCTAGTGATGCCACCCCTCACTGATGGACTGCAGATGGGAAAAGCTCCTCTGGTGAGTTCCTTGTGAGGTTTAAAGGATAGTGTAACTCGGGGATGAGAGGGAGAAGCAGAAGATGGGACACCAGACCTGAAGGAGCTGTGTTGCTGGAGAGCAGTAAGTCCCACCCCTCAGGGTGTGCTCAGCCCCATCTGAAGAGCTGTGATTGCCTTGGAGGAAGCATCCACAGAGTTCACTTGTGAAAATCCCAGAATTCACAGTGAAAACTGCTGTGTGGGGGTGGAATGAGGTCTTTCCTCCTGCACTCCTCCAACTGTAATTGTTTTCTTGCCATTTGCCTCTCCCACAGTCCTGCATCCCATGCAGTGCTGGAATGAACATGCCCTACAGTGATTCTGTAGAACTGATTTAAGGGTCTTAAATTTATGGTTAAAGTACCCCCTTCATTTTTTTTCTAAGAAAGAGAGAAAGGACAGGTTGTAGTCTAAAAAACTGGTTGTAATCTTATGTGTTGAACACTTCAAGGCATTTAGTGATTTCTCAGAAGCAGCTCCTATCTCACAAAGAAATATGAGCTTCTCATGAAGTTCATTTGTCTAATGAGTGAATTGAAGTAAAAAATGAACAATGCATTAAAATTAGTTGATGTTTCAATTAAAATATCATATTCTGTAAAAATTCCAAGATTTCAGCAGTCTTAGAGCAGCCTTAGCAAATGATCTAGTTTGACTCTGGATCTGAGTGCAGATGGTGTTTGTACCCTTTATCAGTCTTTTCTCCTCCAACTAAAGATTCTTTTTACCCACTATAAGGTAACCTTTCTCCCTCCACGAGAAACAGTCTCAATCTGAATCTAAAACTACCAGGATTCAAAAAATTTGGGTGATATCAGCATAATTACATTTGACTTTTTTGGGGTTTTTTGTTGGGGTTTTTTTTTGAGATTACATTAAGGAATTTGACTTCTCAGCAGGAACTTCATGACTATCAAAGCCCTTTGCATTGATTCAAAGTAGTTATGTAAAACTTGAGGTTCCTGTAATTACTAGTTAACTAAAATAAAAAATAATTTGTGTTGTAGAAGTAGGAAGCCATTTTGGGGCAGAGAGAAATCTTTTTCCCTCTTCTCTGGTGTGTTTTTGACCACCCAAGCAGAACTATCTTAGCTGAGGGCAGGTATTGCCTTCAGGGTCATTCACTGCATGGGTGGTCAGTCTTTGGTTTAGGAAATTCAGTTTGTAAAGTTCTCTTCAGGCTCCCTTGTCTTAGTTTTTTGCCATATTAGTACTTTGGAGTGTGGTGGAACTTTTCATTGTTCTGTTTGTGTGTTTGTTTTATCTGTGCTTGTGTGCAGGAATAGACAAAATTGCTATTTACTGCTATGGTGGGTGACTTTTTTCATGTCCCTGTTTTTGTGGACTTGGCTGAGGAGTGAAAATTGCATTGAAAAGAAATGTTATCTCTAAAATTAGCATATGTGCAAACTGAGTCTTTACCTAACCTACAGAAATATTGCTTGTGTGGACAACTCCTGAGGAGTTGGCACAAAGCCAAAGTCCTGCCACAGACTTAATTCTAAATCCCTACTTTCCACTTAATCTCAGTGTACTGTTTTGAGTTTTCAAACCTGAATTAACATCTGTGTCTCTTCCAGCAAAGTCAAGCCCCGAAGAAAAGTCACTCTGACCTTTCAGAGCCCCTTCAGGTCTCAAAGAACAGGACAGAGGACTCTCCCCAGCCAGAACCCTCCTTAGGGTAGAGGTGAGTAGCAGCAATAAGGATCTGAATGGAACAGAGGAAAATGCAAAGCAGCAAGGGATAACCCTGTGTTGTAGCTGTTGGTCTGACACAATTCCATGAAAAGAAGCTCATGGTTAAGAGGCTTCCTGTGGGCTGCTGTGTGTTTCAGACATATTGCAGATTGTGCTTTGGTCTTGGACTTCTAAGAGCCTTTGAAAAGTTGGGAGATTCATGGTCTCTTGAAATATGACTGTGGTTTTCTTCGGAGTTCGAATTTCTTTCTGTTTTCACTTCCCTCTTTTCTATCAGCATGCTTAGTTATTTAAAGCACAGATGTGAGGGATTGTTACTGTGAAATAGTCATTTATCACTAGCCCAGGTCTTTGATGGCTAGCAGGCCTTTTGTTTGGGCTCCTTAGTGCTTCCAGCCCATTTTTGGTTTAGAAGGTGCCTGCATTATAACCAGGTTGTTGCCCTGGGTGAAGAAGGCTTGGCAGGGAGGGAGTGCTCACTTTCAGCCAGGTCCTGCTCATCAGGAGTTGAACCAGAGACTTTTGTGTGCAGCTGTGGGACTGTTGTGTCTAAGGCACCAAATGCAAGGCTCTGACCCAGCCATCAGCTGCTCCTGGCAGGATGAGGAGGGAGCTCTGTGCTCCCACATCTCCCCTTTGTGAGGGAGAGAGGGAGGCTCCCCTGTGCTCTCCCTTGCTGGCTGCCTCTTCCCTTGGGCTCTGTCCTGCTTTCTCCCTTCTTCCTGGCTAGTCTCCCTGGAGGCTTAGCAGAGTTCTGCTCTCCTGTGACTGGAAGCCTCTGTTGGCACTTGGTCCAACCTTCTCCATCATGGTATTTGTTGTCAGACTAACATATTGAAATGAGCCTGTGTCCACATGGATCTCTTGCGTGGAGGGTGGGGTGAGGCACCCTCAAGGCCCTGTGGATGTGTAGCAATGTCAGCTGGGTTTTTCATTTCAGAATATTCTGCTGTGCATGCAGACCTGTCAGCTCACCTGCTCTCAGGAGTTCCTCTCTGACCACCCTGCTCTTCATTCCAGCCCCTGGCTCCATGGTTCCTCCCTTACCCAACAGCAGCTCGTGGCTTTGAAGCCCTGTTTGTAGGTTGTGTGACTCCACTGTCTGGCACTTGTCTATGGCAGGAAGGAGATTTGTGCCTCTCATTCACAGGGCCCCTCTCACTGAGACAGTTGTAGTTTCCTCAGCCCTTTTTCATGACTGATGGTGTGTGATGGGCAGCTCTCTCCAGAAATAGGGATATGCATCACTCAGAGGGACATTTACTATGAGACATGGCCAGACACATAAGTACAGCTGCAAGATGTGGATTTTATGGGAATTTTTTTCCTTTCACACTTTTCTTTCTTACTCTTTCACAGGACGAGGATTTCTGGTCTGAAGCAGAGGGTGACACGAGCTGCTCTGTCCCTGAATCCATTATGGACCAGGTTAGAGTCAAACATGCCTGAAGTCAGCTGTTCACAGTGTGCAGTGGTTCTCTGGTGCACTTGTCCTGAGATACTTTGAAGGGGATAAGTCTCAGTGTTGGCTGGTGTCCTTCTTGAATTTCCCAGAATTTCTGCAGTGTTCTGGCACTGCTCTGAGTACAAGGAAGTGGATGGAACCAGTTAGGTTGCAAGCTGCTTCCTTGCAGCTCTCAGTGTAGCACTTCCCCTGGGGACTGCAAGCTGGAGATGTAGCTATTGAAGAGACTACAATGTTTATTGACAAAGCTACAAACTGCTGAAACTAATAAAGAATTGGGCACAGCCCTGTGATCAGTGCATTGCACTGGTCTTTGTGATGTTAAACACAATTATGGTGCTGTTACTGAGCATGCTTAAATCTTCCACATTGATCAGTAACTGAAATGTTTGTCATCCTCCCCCAGCCCAGCTGATGTTAGGATACAATTCCAACCCCTACTCTGCCCTCCCACAAGCCTTTTGAACACAATATATTTTAAAAAGTATCAGTGCTAAACCCAGTGACCGGTTGAGCAGGCTGTTGAAGGGGATTGCCACTGGTGCCCAGTGAGCTCGGGTGCCAGGTGACCTGCACTGCTGCCTGTAAACATGAATGCTCATGTCATGGGAGGTGGGCCTTCTGTTCCTCTCTGACTGATCATATCCTTTATTTTCCACTGGTTTCCATTTCTGAGCCCTGCCTTTTGTTGACTTTGTTCCTCCTTTTGTCTTCCCAGTCAGACATGGTTATGTCAAGGTTCCACTCCCCAAAACTCCCTTTCAGTTACCAAATTCATCCTGGTTGCACATTGTCAGCATAACAAACCATTCTTCTTTAACTGTTTTTCTTCTCCCCAAATAAAATTAGGCCTAAGTATTTTCTTACAGGCAAACCAGAGTCAGGATTTTCTTTCTTACTTTATTTCTGTGTTTATACCACATCCTACACTCTTACCTGTTTAACTTAAATTTTTGAAGACTCTCCTGGTTTTCTGGAGGCCTTAGCTGGTTATGAGGCCTGGTGTTCCAGGCCTCTTGCTCCCATCAGTCTGCCTGCCTCATGGACCTCCTCAGCCTAATTAATTTGGGCACTCTGTGCTGCCTTGCTTGAAGGCTGCAGGTTGTGTGGCCATGGGGACAGCACGTGCCCATTTACCAGGGGTGAATGTGCCACTGATCTGCCATCTCATGTCACTTTTACTGTGAGCAGCTGCTTGGGTCTCTGTGAGGAGCTAAACAGGTTTATTATGGAGCTGGTTGAGGTTCCTTTGAAGAGGGAGAAGAAAAGTGAACCTTGGGGGTTTTTGCAGCCTTCTGCTCTTATCTCCATTTCCCACCTTGTTACTGCTCTGCTCTGATTACATGGAAGTGGGGACTCCTGCCTTCTTTATGCACAGCAAGTAGAGTGCCCAGTTCCCAAATACAGGGGTAAAACCCTTCCAAACACAGGTGTCTGAGTAAGGGAAATGGGTGGTTTTGCTGAACTCACACCTGTTTCAAAAGAGGAACTCGGATTGGGGTTGCTGCCATTGCCACAGCTGGAAAGGTGAGGAGAAGGTGAGCTGGGTTTTCAACACCACTCTGTAAGAGCAGAGCCTTCTGTCATTCCCCATGGGACACATCCAGGAGTCAGTCTGCATTTGCTGAGGCCTTGGGGACCCTGGCTGATGCTGTTCAGGGTGCCCAGAGGAGGCCACAGAGACGTGTTCAGGGTTGGGAAACGGTGCACGCCTGGATGCTCTGAGTGGGACATTTTCTAGGCATGGGCTTAACAGTGATCTCCTTGTGTTTCAGATTAATGGACCTCTTCAGATGGAGCATGCATTGCTGTTTGCCTTCCTGGAGGTATCCTCTGACTGCACGTTCAAAGACCAGCTGCATTCCCTGCAAAGCCAGCAGATCATGTTGTACCAAGGAGACGATGACGATGAGCTCCAGACTGACGGCAACCGGAGCGGCCACTTCCGGAATGGGGAGCTAGGTGAGCAAGCTTTTCTCCATCCCACATTTTTCTCTGGACATTTTTCTTTCCCCATTTCCTGTCTTTGTTTGTATTTATTGCCTGTTTCAGAGGAGTAATGTTTTTTCTATTGAGAAACTTCACTGTGTGGCTGTTGGTGGTGTTGGTTGGGAATTTAACACTTGGGTTAAGACAACTGGTGATTAGCACTTTCTCCATGGATTTCTAGAGCACCTGTCTCTGGGTTTTGTCTGCAGCACATCAGACACAGGCACAAAGCTGGTGCTGGTGATAGCTGCCCTCAAGGAGTGTGATACTAAGCAGTTAAGTTAGGCCTCACTCTGCTCCTCAGGCAGTTTCAGTACTTGGGCTAGGATCTTGGAACAACCTGAGTTCTGGTACTGGCTGAATCCCTTCCTGCCCCACCAGTCTGATAAAAACTGTTCCTCAAGTAGCTTCTGGTCCTGTTCCTGCTTTGCTAGCCATCTGCATACTGCCCCTTGCCCAGGGTGTGTCAGCTGGCACATTGGCCTCAACTGAAGCAGGGTGAGGAGGAACTGCCACAGTAAATAGCCCTCTCTCACACAAACTTGCATAAGTCTCATGCCAAAAGCAGGTAAAACAAGGTGTAAGGTTCTCAGCTGGAAAAGGACAGATTCAGACTAGGTGTAAGGAAGATTTTTACCATGAGGATGGTAAAAGACTGGCACAGGTTGCCCAAAGAGGTGATGGATGCCCCAGCCCTGGAAACAATCAAGGTCAGTTTGGCTGGGGCTTTGAGCAGTCTAATCTAGTTGAAGATCTCCCTGCTTATTGCAGGGGATTTGGATGAGATGGCCTTTCAAGGTCCCTTCCAACTCCAGCTATTCTGTGAGGTGCTGTATTTTAGGTGGTGCTTAAGAGACAAGTCCTGACAAGTCACTTAAAGTCTAGAACCATTAGGTTGAAAAAGACCTTCAATGTTATGCACAGCTTCTCAGTTCCCCTCTGTGGGCAGGATGTTGGCAGTAACTGTCCTGTTCAAATCTTGGTTGGAGATGTTCTAACATGCCCTGCAGAGATTTTTTTTTTTGGGCAGGGTTTGGCTGCACTTTACCTAAACTACAGATACAAACCCCTGCTTGCCACTATTTTTGGTAAGCAACCTGGGTGCACCTAAAGAAATCATGGATGGGGTGGGAAGGAGGGTGCTAATGGAGATTAGCAAAATGCTGTGACCTGTACTGATCCTGGTCTGACTACAGCCTGTGAACTAAATTCTGCTCTTTTTGTTGGCAGGGTTGGCTCCAACAAATGAAGAGGTTATCCGGATCATTGCTGCTCAGCTCGCTGAGATTGGAGACCAGTTTGATAAAGAAATCCAAGAAAGAGTGGTAAATGGCCTAGTGCAGCACTTTATGAATGAGAATCTGTCTGAGGAGGTGAGTGAAAAGCAGCCTGATAAGCAGTTCTCCTTTTAAATATTCTGCATCCTTCCTGCTGTGACTTTGAAGGCGTCTGAAAATTAATCCCAAACATTTACCTTTGAAGATTTGTTAGAGGTGATTCTGTGGCAGAAGTTAATGTGCAAATTGGGTTCCTCGGGCTCATCTCCTTTCTGCAGATGGTGAAATGGTGGTTGTGGAAAAGGACTGACTTTGAGGCATTTTGTCCTTCTTTTGATGGCCCCATGGTTTGTCTTGGAAAATGGATGGTCTGGCTAAGGCTTGGTTTTAGTATTTAAGATCTTTGCACTTTGGTGCCGAGTCCTCTATATCTGCTGACCATCATATGGCTAAAAGTTGAGCAGGTTAGTGACAGGAGCTTAACTTGTGCTGGTTACTGAGCACTGGAGAGACAGCAGGTCATGAGACCCTTTCTGATGCTGTGAGTGTGCTCAGAGGCACAGTGTTGGGAGTAGCAGTGCGTTTAGGCCTGGCTCTGTGACCTGCTGGGGTGGCCTCTTCCCAGATGCAGTTGGCCCAGCATCTAACTTGCCTTGCTGCTGTGCAAGAGAAGTGGAGTTTGAGGTCTCTTGTGTTCAAAAGGAAAAGGAAGGCTATCCAAGGATTAGATCTACATCTGAATCAAGGGCCACAGTTTTTTGAGGGGTGTTTTTTAATGTAACAGGCTGGCTGCCATGGCTGGGAGGAAGGGGAGCAGCATCCTGGATATTGCAACAAGCACATGAGTTACCAGCACAGTCCTGGCAGGCTGTGCTGAGAGCCCCTGCTGCCACAATTGTTGCACTGAGATCCCTCTCTTCCTTCCACACAGGACATAACCCGGCACATGTCCAGGGTGGTGAGAGAGCTTATCCGAGCCATCCCCTCAGACATGGAACAGGAGAAGGCCATGTTGGTGCTAGCAATGGTCTTGACTAAGAAAATTGTCAATACAGTGCCCTTCCTTCTGCGCCGTGTCTTTACCACCACTCGGAACTACATGAACCAGCAGTTCCACAACTACATTGTTGAAATGGTGAGTGCTGTCAAAGAGCTCTGTGGGAGCCACAGCCAGCCTTTCAGCTGCCCTGAGGGGTGGCCCAGCTCTGAACTGCCTGTGGCCTGCTGGTGTCCCTGTAGTGCTCTGGAGGTTGGGCCAGAAGGCAGTGTCAGTCCCTGCAGAGCTCTGGAATGAGTGTGCTTGAGGGGGTCACGTCACATCTGCTTGGCCCCCCTCTCAGAGCAGCCACTGGACAGAGTGCATTTGTTCTTTTGGGCAGACAGAGCTGTGACTGCTCCTCTCCTCCTGCAATCTCCTCAGGGAGCTCTACCAGTAACATTCTGGTTCATGATTCTTTCATTCTCTCAGGGAAGGAAAGCCTGACCTGAGCTCTACTGGCTGCATTTCCCCAGTGTCTTGACCCTGAGCTCTCTGCTCTTGTTTTCCTCAGCTCCCCAGAGCTTGGGAGAGCTGTAAGGGGAAAGGAATTGCTCTTGAGAATTAACACTAGCCATGAGACATAATCAAATCTGTTCTTGTTCTCTGCTGGCACTTGAGCAGAGGTGGGGAGGCTGCGCAGCTCGCAGGCAAGCCAGGCTAGGGACCCCAGCTCCAGTAACTAAGGAGTCTGGGGAGGGGAGAGGACAAACTCACTGCTGCTGAGACTCGGTGCTCCTTGAGAATGAGATCTGAGCAGGCAGGGCTGTGCTGCTGCCCCCTGTGAAGCAGAGGTGACACACGGGACACTCACATGGGACACTCCTGCCCTGCAGCCTTGCCAGGGACAGCGTTGGCAGCAGCCTGCAGCTGGGCCTGGCTCAGGCTGTCACCTTGCCTCACCCTGGGCACGGTGTCACTGTGCTGTCCCTCAGCTCTGCCCTTCCCCTCACTCGGTTTGGCTCCAGTTCTGCCAGAATAAGTCACTTGTGTGAGACTGGCGGTGCTGCTGCCCCGGGGCTGTCCCACACTGTCCCCGGGGCTGGCACGAAGGAGCACGGCAGGTGGCAGTGCTGACACGAGATTCGCGCCGCTGGAGCTGCCTGGGCAGGGCTTGGCACTGGAGAAGAGCCCTGCTGCTGGTAATAATGCCCCTTCTGTTTCTCTCCTTCCAGCTGGGTGAGTGAGGCCTGTGTAGAGCACGGGAACTGCTGAAGACTTTCCTTGCTGGATGAAGATAACTTGATTTACTCTTTACTTCTGAAGTACAGCTGTGAAAGAGATGGCAGAGCTTCATAGATGATAGGCTTTTGTAGACTAGCACAGCAGTAATTGTAGTGTGAGCTGCCTGCCAGCTCTGCCAGTACCTGTAGGGAATAGCCTCTCTTCCTTCACACTATTTTTTAATTTAGCAGAAGGAGCTTTTGTGCAGAGCCTGCCTTGTGCCTCCACAGGCCCAGCGGGCCTGGGGCCTCTCTGTGTTTTTTCTAAGCAGCTGTAGCATTTTGCTTTAGTTATTCACTTCCCATCCCTGCTCCTGAAGCTGAGCCATGCTGAATGTTGTTTCCAGGAAGGCGTCAGGCTATGGAATGGGTGGTTCATCAGCGGGGGTGGGTGGGAATCAGGTTTATCTTGATGAGAAGCTGGCAGCAAGAAGCAACAGAGCCCCGAGGGACAGAGGGGAGTGTGCCCAGAGAAGGGTGACATGAGGATACTTCAGTGTCAATCACCATACACCTCTGTTTGCTTGAAAAATAAAACTGACAGAAAAAAATGGTAAAGGACAAGGTAGGCACAAGGAAAGTTTTTTGAGAATGCAACCTGAATATGCTTAAGAAAAGGTAGCAGATATTGTAGTTACATCTCAGGCTGAACAAACTTGGACTCAGGTTGTTTGATACACAATCAGACAAGGTGGCAAATGTGTCACCTGCGATCCAGCTGCCTCAGGACTTTTCCAAGAATGTAAATATTTTGTAGGGTTTTTTAACTTAAATAAAAATTTCATTCAGATGGCTACTACAGCTCTGTAGACTTTCAGTCTCCACCTGAAAATGTTTTCTGCAAGTACTCATGGCATTCTTCTAATTCACCACGGCTTCTGATCCAGAGACACTCTGGTGCTGTCCCTGTGCCTTGCATAAGCAAGTTTCCTGTAAGTAAAACCACCTTTTCTTTTGGTGCCTGCACTAAAATGGGTTGAGAGTAGAAGCACAGAAGTAGTCTACACATGGTTTTTGAAAACTGTACCATTTATTAAAGTGCAACCTGGGGGCATGGTCTTACAGCAGTGTCCCATTAGCAGAGAGAAAGAATGTACATACCCCTTCACTTGAACTGAATATTGAACAATGAAGCTGGAAAGAACTTTCTTGTCAAGGTGGAAACACTTTTATTAACCAAATGGCACAAGAAGCTTTAGACAGTTTTCCCCAAAAGGGCTGCACTTGCACATTGGAAGGAACAGTATGATGAGTTCCTGGGACAATGGGTGACCTGAGGACCAGTCAGGGTCTCTTCCCCCAGGCAGGCCTCTTGAGCACAGAATCCAAAATCCCTGCAGGTCTGGCACTATTTGCTTACACCCAGCAGAAGCCTAGCAGAAGAGATCCCCTAACCTGCAGCTCCAGTCAGTCCCATTAGTCTTTGCTGCTTAACAAATCAAGAGGCATTCTTTTGGTCTGAGTGGGTTTTTAGGTTTACAGTGGAACAAAAGCTTATCCTGCAAAATAACTGAGGACAAAGCCCCTAAAGGTATAGCAGTAAGATGCATCCTCTGCAGTTTATGTCCACATCAATGGTGTCCCTTGCCTGCCCTGCAGATACTGCAGGGAGCTCAAAAGCAGCTTCCACTGGAAGCCAACAGGAGTTCCCCCACTTCTACAGCATGACCACAGACCTCTAGCTTGGAGGAAGCAAGTCAGCCTACCCAGGAGACTGAGAGAAGGTCAGCTCTAAGTAGAAAAAAAAGTGATAAAGTTATTTAACTTAAGGAGGTCGAGCTGAGTGATGTGTTGTGGTTCCTCTGGACTTAACACTACTGACCCTTCTAAGCTTCATTCCCAGCCAAGTCCTGGTCAGGTACTGCACCAGACACAAACTGAATTCTGTTGCCTAGACCTGGCCCTGCAGCCCCTGCTCCCTCTGGGCCTGAGAGCTTGCTCTGCCTCAGTCAAGCAGTGCTAGGTTAAATTTTATAAACACCCCCCTTTCCTTTTCTTTTTGTTATGGCAATACAGAGCTTGCACTCTTAAGCACAGGGACATACATTCAGTCAAAGTAATACTGTTCTTCCAACCTTCCTCGTGCTAATATTAAGCAGGCCAAGCCACAGCATTTGCCCTCATTAGGTAGAGCAGATATTGTGCCTCACCCCTCCATCTTTCACAGGATCACCTAGGTTTGGAAAAGACCTTTGAGATCGAGACCAATCCATGAGCAAACACCACCTTGCCAACCAGACCATGGCACTGAGTGCTACATCCAGCCTTTTCAATCACCTCCTTTTTTCACAGATCCAGCCCTCTGCTGTTTTAGCATCTCAGCTTTAGGGTATGCTAAGGATAAAGTGAAGACAGAATGGGTCTAAGGTAGATATTTTGTTAAAGTACAGGCCACTAGAGGACAGATATTGAGGCACTTCTGGGAAGGGGATGAGCAACACAAGTGAAAGTAATTCTATATGCCCTTTTGCAAGTACAGAGCTCCTGCCTTCCCTCTGCCAGCTAAGAGAGATCCACTGAAGAGAGGCTGCACCACACCTTGCAGGGTAACTGGACCCTGCAGTTTAAGGTTACTGTAATATATTTGCAGATAAGGGGAGAAGAAAGCTTCCATGTTCTAATTCACACCTCTTAAGAGAGCAGCCTGTCCCTCAGGTCTGTAGAACACTGCCACCTTACCCCTCTGGTGACTTCCACAAGGCCTGCCCCAGCTCTGACCACAGGACCCCAAACTCTGCAGAATTCAACCCCACAGCTGACCTTCTGAACTAGAGGAGTGTTCCCAGAGGAAAGAGGCTTGTACAATAAAATTTCTGAACATGTGGTCAGTTCAAATTCTCGCTGATTTGCCAAATCTAAGAGACCCCAGAAGGAATTATAAAGAAAGGACCAAGCAACAAAAACATACAGGGCAACTGATGCTCCATGAAATGCAGGAACACACCTGATACTCAAGGCTTCTGCCTGACCACAAAAATGCCTAACACAGTCATTTATTTTCCTTACCATGCTGCCACCTTCTCACTGCTGTGCGTGGAAGCTTTTTATTTTATGCCCCACTGGGGTCCTTGTGGCAGTAAGTTTTGAACTTCTTCCCTTGCCAGCTTGGATTTATTCTTGTCTATTCTTGTCCTCTACCCAGCTCCACCCTCCCCACTAGTACACAAGTTATCCAGAGTGTCCACAGACTCCATCTCAGCCTCAGAGTAGCCTGCTGTGTGCCTAGAGCTGGGCTGTACCAGAAGCAGGTTCCTTGCCTTCAGGAAGGAGGGGATGTGGTTAAGAACAGTTTGTGCCCAGAGAACCCAAAGCCATCAGCAAAGCAGCAGGAGGGGCAGCCCTGCCCCGACTGACCAAGCAACAGAGCTGCCCTTGTCACCTCAGAGACTGCACCAGTCCCTGATAAACAGAACACGTGAAGTGAAGCAAAGCTGCTCCTGCATGCCCGGGGCACACGGAGCACAGGGACCTCTCCTCCACGTGGGGGAAGCTCCTGCAAGGGGCCAGGAGGGGGAACTGCCCTGCTGGGAAGGCAGACACCAGAGAGCCCCTGTGGCATGAGGAGGACCCAGCAACCCCTTCTAGGGACACAGCAATGAGTACCAGCACGGCACCAGAAAATGGGAAAAAAACAGTCAATTCCATTTTGCAATGTGGTAAAAGATTTGGGTTTTTTTTTTTCTGATAAGGCCAACCTGCTATGTTTTGTACATGGAAGAAGAGCAATCAATGATCAACAGTACAGTCCAGACCTCCAGAGCTCCCAAGTTCAGTCCACAGCAGCAGTATACACACAACCCTTCTTAATAGTCAACTACCTCACACACACAGAGTTCAAAATCCAGTAAGTTTCTAGAAAATCCATTTCACAAAAGCTTACACAAAAATAATTCCTCAGAATCTGACACATTCTGACTAACCTTCCAGCATCCTGGGATAGGAAAATGCAGCAAGAATATCCTAAAATAGAGAATCTGCTAAGATCTCTTCATTCTGAGATCCCTTAAGGAACAGGCTCATCAGGAGATATACTCTGGATATGGTTATTTAGAAATAAAAGTACCTTGTCTTTGTGCTTTGCGAAGATTCCCCATAAGCTCATGTTTCATTTTTTACATCATCACAAGTTCCCTTTCACCTTCCTCCATCTGGTCTAAGCCACAGTGCCAGCAGCAGCCCTCAGAGATGCATCCTCAGTTTGCCTGGGAAGCACAAGGCGTTGCCCACGGAGCTGCAGCTGGACAAGGACAGACACAAATGTGCTGGAAGAGGAGCACTTGTGGCTGGATCCACTGAGGAGTAGGGCAGTACTTGAAAGGCTTCTCTCCACACACACCTCAAGTGTTGTGACTGCAGGAAGGGGGATTTCCTTTTTTTTTGCCAAAGTGAATTGCTCATTATTTGTGAACCTGTAAGTTTAGGGAGTTACAGATTCACAGTCGCAAAAGAAATCGCAGTGAACAGCACTCGGGGCCAGGTCAGGAACAAGCAGATAGAGATGTTTAATGCTCTTTTGCTCAGTTACTAGAATCCATTGCTTTATATATCTGGGATTCTGTCACAGGCAAGACCAAGTTAGGACTAAATACACTCTGTGCTTAACTTGGGAAAGACAATGCAGACTGCAGCGTGACACAGGACAGCAGAGCATTTAATATCTGAATTGCACTTGAGGCACTGGCCTTGCTTCCACACGGGTTTGCTGTATTTTTGCTGAATATACCCCAAATATCAGAGTAGTGATCCCAAGGGCACCGTGCCCAGCATCAATTTCGTACCTCTGGTAACTGAAGGGTTTGCAGTAAAGTGGGCTGGGCAGGAGCAGAGCAAATGGATTCTCAAACCAGCAAACAGCAGTGTCCCTCCCACCCTCCTGGGCAGCACCTCTGCCCCAGCAACACCAGGATGCTCAGAGATAATACAGCTACAGAGAGGCAGCATCTTCACAGGATGGGGCTCCAGTAAACGTTAGGGGCCAAACCAGTGTGAGCCAAGAGGTAAGAATAAGCACTGTCCCACTGGGGCTTAGGAGGAACCTGGAAGGTTATGAGGAGCAGTGCTGTACCTGAGAGGAAGCTGAGACAAAAGGGACACCAGCCTCTTGCTACAGGACTCAGGTTGGCTAATGTTTGTTAGGAGGGGCTCGGGGCACAACGGGAAGTGACAAGACAGCACAGCTGCAATAGCGGTCAATCTGAGAAGCCAAAATCTCCAGGGGCCGGCAGCAGCTGGCTTTCCCCTTCCCCTGGGGATCCTTTGTTCCAGTTCCTAGAGTATGAGCACCCCTTTCTTCAGCACCTGCACTTTAAGTTCTTAAATTTGCAGATTTTTTTGTGTTTTTTTTAAAAATACCCCCGTACTTTAATCACGAAAAACCAGTCCCCGCCCCGATTCTACTAAAAACATGATTGTCCATAGCTGGAGGCTTATTGAACAACCTCACCTCATCACCACTGAGTTACTCAGAAGTCCAATTAAACAGCAGGCAGCTCAACCTTTAGGTAACACAACTACAAAAATTGGATGTGCTCTCTTCTCTCCTCCCTCCTCCTCCAGAGAGCTCCGTTACTTTTTCCTAAGCGCCAGCGCTACTCCGACTGCCACAGCCAATATAGCGACCGCGGCAGCCCCGCCGTACAGCAGTATAGATTTCCCTTCTGGCAACAGGATAGGCTTCTCCTCTGCAGCTGAGGATTTCTCTTCTATTTCTTCCAAATGGCCCTCCTTCCCCGCTTTTTTTTCCCCTGGAAGCAGTATTTTCTCAGGTTCTGGTGCAGCCTTTTCTTCTGACGGGGCTACCT